AGGATTAGATTAGGTAAAATAAATAATAACAATATTATAAGAAAAATGTTTCATAAGGCACACATGCGAGCAGCTCGTAGTAGCTCATGGGTAATGTAATTCATTAGCGTAATGTGAGCTGCATGTTCCCCAATGTGATTTACAACTTATAATGGTGCAAATAGTAGTTAGACATGGTGCAAAGGGTAATAAAACATTAAAATTTAATTATAAATAGATGTATACTGTTACAAATGTAGAACTACTTAGGATAAACAAATGTAGTTTCATGTTACAATTTGAAGTCATTCTAGAAAATAAAAAAGGGTAATTTAGATTTATTTCGATTTTTTTTTGGTGGTTATGAGGTCAGTCAAATTGACTAATTCCATTTTGAGATAGGGTAGAGAAAATAACGGATAAACTATAAAGTTTTACCGAAAAAAAAATTGAAATGCATTGAGGAGGTTTTAGGGATTACACAAAGGAAATTTGAGATTTTTGAGATGAGGAAATATTTTTAATTCTAACATGAAAATTACTTTGCACACAGACTATTCAAAATAAATACTCAATATATTTAATTGTATTAAAAATACATAACTAAAAATATGATTTTGTGTATGTGAAAGACTTATAATATTAACTGAAAGACTGCCAAATTTTGTAAAGATATACACACTATATTTAAAGTTAGAAGTATTAAATCTATAAGATTTTAAACGAGTACAAAGAGGTCACATGGTTGGTCAAATTGATCGCGTCTGTATGGAAAGAGTTAAACCCATGTTTTCTGATGGACAACTAGCACCCTGGAACAGACCTTTACTCAAAGCAACATTGCAGTCTACTGTACACTAATCCATGTCCACACACACTACACATGTAATGTTGACTCCGATCCTTGACCAAAATCAACAGTAAATTTCCTAACTATGAACATGAAAATTTGAACTCCCACAAAAATGTCTTTTGGTCCATTTTTGTGTTTAAAAAAGATTGTACTTTGTACAAAAGAAATGTTGGTACAATCCACCAAAAGGGGCTTAAAACATTAGAAAAAATTTGCTTTTGTGATTGGGTAATAATGCTGTTTTGTCACTAAACTTTCTTTCATGGACAAGCTGCATGTAAATTTTGTATGGAATTCAACTGAGCATGAATGGCAATGTGTGGTAACACAGTACAGTGTATACAGCTCAGTTACTTACATTACCACACTTTTTTTTTTACAGTAAGTAAAATTTATTTTTAAAACAGGCACAATGTTTTGATCACAGGTACAATCATTCTTAAGTACACAAGTTTTAACAGTAAAAAACGTTTAGTATTTAAATCAACATTCAACCAATGAAAAAAAATTGTAAAAAACAAATATATATATATATACACACATACTAAATCAGTAAGTAACTCAAAATGTATGCATCTACTTGGGCAGGCCGAGATTTGCAACAAAAACGAACACTGATAACATGAACATTTAGTGAGATTAATTTCTAGTATAGATGCTTACAACAATAAAACTAACATGTCTGTCCCAACTTCTTACCAATAAACCTTTGGTAGAAACTAAGATGATCACATATATAAAATCAAACTCAGAATTTGAAATGCTGCCCCCCCCCCCCCGATTATTTTATGAGAGTTTTGATCAGTACAAAACAGAATAACAATAAATAAAATAAGGCTAGCTTTGCCTTTTTCCAGGTCAATACAAGATATGGGTATGAATAGCAATACATATCAGCAGTGTGTGTGTACGTATTACAGTAGAGTAGTATGTGAGAGAGTTCTGATACAAGTCTAGTCTTACTACAGGTTGTACTTTACTGCGCTTGGTGGGCAGGCCAAGCTGGTTAGAATGAAAACACAGAATGACGCTGTTCTGTTTAAAAATTTTACAGATCACTGACCGTTTGGTTCTTTAAGATACTATGTAACTTTAGCGTGGTTTGGGTTTATTTTCTCTAATGTAACAAAACTTCCTGGGAAATAAAGCATCAAAAATTAATTGAATAAAGATGCAAAATTGCCAACTAAACATTAATTGTACTTTTTGGAAACAAATAAGGTATATAAAAACATTAAAATTCTTGTAATTGGGTCTTTTTTAGGGTCTTTTTACATACATGTTGTCATAATTTTGAGGATTTGTGTATTTTTATTTACTTTTGGACAATCAATATAACCTTCTGGACAACCTGGAAATTTCCTTAAAATTGTGCCTTGATTTATACTTAACTTTTTTTGTTGTTTTGCTCTCTGAACTGTGTCTAACTAATATTCCTATCATAAAGTTTGTAAATCACTTGGTGAATGTGGTCTCATGATACCCCTATCGAATTGCATAATGCACGGCCTACTCATGAGAGTACCTCGTGAAATTTTTTTTTACCTAATCAAACCTTTTGTAACCTAAAAAATGTATAATTTTTACATTTAGTTACTTTTATAATAATAAATAAAGAATACAAGAAGAAAACATGAAATATAGTACTTACCTGGGTTTTCTTTTTTTATCACTGTTAATTGTCATTGAAATTTGGCTCCACTTTTTTATACTAATGGTACTACTGCACTAAATAATTTTTAGTATAATGGAATAATGCACCAAAGAACACAGAACAACAACATGTAAAAAGTAGACAATGTCCCATAACCATCACAATTTTTCTGGCTTTCTAACTATGAGACAAGAGCCATTACAAATTTAGCTAAGCTCATCAACGTGTTTCCCATGGAAATAAAGTTTGAACTGGAAGAAAAATAAATAATTTTCTGTACAGAAAGCAATGTAATATAATACATAATTTGATAGATTAAAACTTTGGCTTTCTCATGGTTATAAATAATATTGTATTAAATGTCAAAAAGAACTGTTTGCAATTTGTAAAAGAAAGGATGTGAAAGGTAGGTGTGGAAAGAGGGTCTTATTTCTAGTTTATGGCTCTGTAACCAAATGAGACTGAAGGTTATAAAAATTATGCTTTGCCTGAGTTATGGCAATATTATATTGAGTAATTTACATTAATTAAACTTCATACACCTTGGAAAGGTGGTAAATAAATTGGAGAACAGGGAGTGCCTAGAGAGCAAATGTGACAATTAAGGATTTTTTTAAAACATTGCTCTATATAATTATAACATATATATAATATTAAAATTTGAATTATTAACTAGGTTGTGATGCCATGTTTATTTGATTGCTATGATAAAAAAGTACTTTAATTAAATTTTGAATGTAACTCATAAAAACCTCGTGACATGTGCAGAAAAGGATGCCTGTAGCAAGAGGGTTAATGGGAATTTGCAAAAAATAAGAAATAATACTTGAGTATGTTAGAAACTCTTAGTTATATTTTTGTCTTGTATTTTTAGAGAACACAAACTGAAGCTGTAACATTTTTGGGAAACCAAGACAACAGTAGATCTCTGTATGCCATACCTGGTAAGCTGCTGTTTCTGTTTTTTTTTCCTCAGAATATGTTTCATATTACTTTCTTTTTGTATTAATAGAAAAACCTAAAATAATTAAAGCATATTATGTGCTGTTTTATGGTGGTTTTGGACAGAGTTGATTGTACTAGATTTGAAGCATTTACAAACAGCATCTGCCACAGGTATAGAGATTGATGATATTGATGTCTCTTGGAAGGCCTCAACAAGGAGCCTGAAATGCTGTCCACTGCTACACTTCAAACAGATGCATTCATAAAACTTGAAATCCATTAGATATTAAATTTTTTATAAGAATTTGAAAAATAATTTGCAAAATTAGGCTTACCAGGTTAATACTGTAGAAAATTCAAAAATATTTAAGTCCACACAAGTGAGACACACATCATTTGCTTGAGAATTATATGCAGCATACTTATAAATTGGCCACTTTTTTAGATATTGAGTTTTGTAAAGATATCACATATTTTTTTGTTTTTTACTTGAGTGTGAACTTAACTCTCTCAACACAGGCTTGGTCAATTTGGCTGACCATGTGATATCTTTGTACTCGTTTAAAGTCTTTATAGATTTAATACTTCTAACTTTCAATATAGTGTGTATGTCTTCACAAAATTTGGCAGTCTTTCAGTTAATATTATGCCTTTCACATACAAAAATTCATAGTTTTTAGTGAAGGATTTTTAATCAAATAAAATAAAGAATTGTCCATGAATATATTGAGTATTTGTTTTGAATAGTCCATGTGCAAAGTAATTTTCATGTTAAAATTAAAAATACATCATCTCAAAATCTCAGATTTCCTTTGTGTGATCCCTGAAACCTCCTAAATTAATTTCAAACATTTTTTTCCGTAAAACTTTACAGCTTATTTGTTATTTTCTCTACCCTATCTCAAAACGGGATTGGTCAATATGACCGACTTCATAACCACCAAAAAAAAAATCAAAGTAAGCCTAAATGACCCTTTTTTTCTTTCTATTAGGACTTCAAATTGTAACATGAAACTACATTTGTTTATCCTAAGTAGTTCTAAGTTTGTAACAGTATACATCTGTTTATCAGTAAATTTTATTGTTTTATTGCCCTTTGAACCATTTTTTAACTACAATCCATGCCATTATAAGTTGTAAATCACTTGGGGAACGTGCAGCTCACGTTATGCTAACAAATTACATTACCCATGAGCTACTCGCATGTTTGCCTCATGAAACATTTTTATTATAATATTATTATTATTATTTATTTAACCTAATCTAATCTTAACTAACTTAAACATGAATAAACAAGAAATAAAAATACTTAACCAATCTTCTTTTTTTTTGCTCTAGGTTTTCAAAGAAACTTAACCCTAATTTTTACTATAGATACTAATGCACTTAATTTTTATTTAATTAAATAATGCAACAAAGAATATAGACTAATAACATGCAAAAAGTAGACAAATTCCCTTACCTCTCAAAATTTATCTGGTTTTCTAACTATGCAACGAGCTGTTATGTTCCAAACATAATGTTATACAATACATCATTTGATGGATGAAAATCTTGACTTTCCATTGGTTATAGGTAATATATAATTAAACGTAAGAGAGAACTACAAAAATTCTGAAAGAGAGGATGTGACAGGAGGGGTCTGATTTTCTATTCGATAGTTCTGTAACCAAACAAAATTGAAGGCTATTAAAATTTTGGTTTGTCTAAGCAATGAGAATTTTATAAAGAGTAATTTACATTTAATTTCGTACTTTTTCGAGGGATTGTGCATAAAATAGGGATGATGACATGCTAAGAGAAAATGTGTCACGTGAGTCTCACTAGTGGAAATTCAGGATTTTTTTTAATACTGCCTTGTAGAATTAAGAACTTAAAACTTATATAATATTAAAATATGAATTATTAGCTAAAATTTGATGCTATTCTAATTAGTATAACATAAATAAAAAGTAGTTTAATATAATTTTGAATATAAGACACTAAAACCTTGTGTCATGTGCAGTAAAGGATACCCGTGGCGATCGGTTTAATGAAAACCTGACAGATCCCTGTTGGTCTTTATTGGCTCTCATATGCATACTTCAGTTTTTGTCTGACATGTAGTGGGAGCTGTGGGTGAGTTGAAAGTGTTTATTTAATTAAATAAAAAAATTTAATCATTTTGACTGCTTGCTTTGAACCACAAGGTATTTAATGCTCTCACCAGTTGTAGCATGTCTGGTATAAGCTGTTGTTGAATTGAAAAAACTGTGAAGGAGGTGTCATTGATGAGTAGACAATTCTGACAACACAATAATGGTTCACAAGGTACTTTTTAATCAAAAGTTGTTACAAACTTGAAACTCCTCTCAGTGTGAATAAAAACTCCACAGTAGTGATACTTTGTGATTTTTTCATGGATTTTGATACTATACTTTTATTGTTAGAATGAGCCACAAGTATGGCTATTGATCTCACACAGAAACAGGCACATCCCACTATACAGCTGTACAAAAAGGCCAATATTACTTTGTAACTTGTGAGTAATGTAATATATAATTTGGCATGAAGAAATTCACTTTATTCTATTTTTGTTTTTTAATAGGTCTTGACTATGTTGCTCATGAAGACATTTTGCCTTACACTAGTACAGAAAGTAATCCACTTAACCATGAACTTTTTGATAAGTTCCTCATGTTTGACCCAGAAAAAGGTATGGAAACTTGTTAATATAGTATAACATAGTTAATCCATTCACTGTGGCTGGGACATATATTTCTCAATGCAAATGGTTAAAGCAGCCTTGGTATTGACCAAGTTGTTATAGAAGGTTACCATGTATAGTAATTACTCAAAAGCGCATGTAACCAACTACAATGCATGATTGTTTACATTAACCACATTATACTATCATTTGCTGTTTAAGTTTTTGTTTTTAAGGTCTGTAATTTAGGATATTAGAATCAATAGTTGTTGATTAGAAGTTTATGAAAATGCTTTTCCATAGAACCATGTTTTAGTTCTCGAGAAACGTTACGAGCGTGGCAAGAAAAAAATCATCCATGGCTGGAGTTATCAGACGTACACAAAGAGACAACAGAGGACATCAGGGTAACAGTGATCCCATTCTACATGGGATGTAGAGTGAGTAAAGTGTGTTTATATAGTTTAATAATCATCCTGTAATTATCTCAGTGTCATTTACCTGACATCAATCTTAGCCAAATTTTTATTTATAGGCAATATCAAATGTCTCAGACAGAATACACTGGTTGAGTATGATATATTAAAACAACTTTGGAGTCTCTCCACATCTGGACAAGCTCTAGATGATAGCCATGCATTTTGACAATAGTCCTGAAGTAGTTTCCATCATAAGGCTATCTCATCAAAAGCACACCATTACCCTATACGAATGTTTCCTATTCCATCTATTGTACAAGGACAGCAATCCTTAGTGCCCATTTCAACAGTAAGAATGCAACTGAAATTCCAAGGCATTGTATCTGGCAACATGATCAATTTGTCTTCACATGGAAGGAATAACATAAATACCCATTTCATTCTCCAGCTGTGGTATGTACTGGTTGAATTGATATGTCCAGGAATCGACATGTGTACATATAATTTGTATCATTTTTTCCAGATGGAGATCCTTCTTGGATATGTTGCATATTATTGCTTGAGGCATATGGATGACTTTTACCACTCATGTTTGTGTTTATGGGTTCTCACCTATTACAAGACTCTGCACTTTCCCTTCCAGTACTGGGGTATGACTTGTTGTACATTTGTTTGTTTTTGAATGCCATTAGGTACAAGGGATATCCCTTTCTTGAAAATTCTAAATCCCTAGTTCAAACACATCTTTATAATCTTAGTGTATGAGAGTTTTGTCTTGGAAAAGACTGTTATGTATCTTTCTCAAAACAAATTCATTTTGGGTGGCACCACATTACCTGTTCTGATACCTTCTAATCTGCTACAATTTTTTGTATTAGCTATGATTGTCACATGACTTTCCACTTATGCACAATCATAATAATTTTAATATAACATACTTAATCAACTTTCTTTATTGCTGATATCAGTTGTCATAGCTAGAATTTTACACATAAGCAAAGTAAGCACTCTTAGTGAGTATTTCAGATGTCACTGATGTTAAGAGTCATATTTTGATGATATCAGTTGTCTTAGCTAGAATTCATGCATAAGCAGTATAGGCAGTCTTAGTGAGTATTTCATATATCATTGATGTTAATAATCTTACACTGGTGGTGTCAGTTGTCTTACCTAAATTTCATACATAAGCAATGTAAGCAGTCTTAGTGAGTAATTCATATAACATTAATGTTAACAGTCATATTCTGGTGATATCAGTAGTCTTAACTTAAACTTTACATATAAGAAATGTAAGCTGTCTAAATGTGTATTTGTATACAATTTATAGTAACACTTATGTTCTGGTGACATCAGGTCTCTTAGCTATAATTTCACACATTAGGGAAGTAAGCAGTCTTAATGAGTACTTCATATACAAATAATTTTGTAAGTCATATTTTGGCGGTATCAGTTGTCTTACCTAGAATTTCACGCATAAGGAATGTAAGTTTTAGTTAGTAATTCGTATACCAATGATGTTAAATCATATATCAGTGCATAATGAATACAATATTAATAGTTTTAGTCAGTATTTCATATACCATTGATGTTAAGTCAGTCATTTTTTGATAATATTAGTTGATTTACTTAAAACTTCATGCATAAGGGATATAAGCAATCTTAGTATTTTGTTCATGTTCTGGTGATAATAATTGTCTTAGGTAGAATTTCATGCATAAGGAATGTAAGCAGTCGTATTTAGTATTTTGTATACCATTGATGTTAACAGCCATATACTGGTAATATCAGTTGTCTTACCTAGAATTTCATGTGTAAGGAATGTAAGCAGATTTAGTGAATATTTCATATACCCTTAATTTTAATGGTAATATTCTGGTGATATCAGTTGTCTTAGCTAGAATTTTATGCAGTTTTATTGAGAAATTCTAATACCATTAATGTTAATACTAATATTCTTCTGATATCATTTGTCTTAGCTAGAATTTCATGCATAAGGAATGTAAGCAGTGTTTGTTTGTAATTCATATACCAGTGATGTTAAATCATATTCTAGTGATATCAATTGTCTTAGCTAGAGTTTCATGCATAATGAATATAATATTAATAGTCTTAGTGAGTCATAAATATACCATTGACATTAACAGTCACTTCCTGGTGATATCAGTTGTGTTACCGAGAATTTCATGTACAATACGTATTAATAGTCTTAGTTAGTAATTTATATACAATCAAGACACATGGTAGTGTCTTGTGTGGCCAAAACAACCTCATGCAAGACACACTGTGTGTTATTAAAAGCAGTGATAGTTTAGCAATTTTCTGCCTTCTGTATCTCAGACTGTGGTAATCCAAACTGTCACGTATTTTCAATGGATGTATTTTACTGATGTCTTACTTCATAAATAAAATTTCAAGGTGATCTATTAAGAAATACCTGAGATATAACATCACAAATTTTGATTTTCTTCCTTTTTTTTTCTTTGCAACAAAAGTATGGAAACTTTATTTAACACAAAAATATACTTAACGTTTATGGATTTTTTTCAAATTTAGTACCCCAATAGATCTTTTCAACCTACAATTAGGAGCCTGATTTGGTGTAAATATAAGCCATATGTGCAAAGTTATTCAACAAAAGCTGCTAAAATATTTTGAACATTTTTATGCATATCTATGCAAAAAAAGTCATAATTAGCAATTGGTCTGACATTTTTACTACAGCTTCACCTAGGTGTAAAAGTGGACCATTTTTAGTTTTTTACCTTTCTGATTAAAGACTGCTGATTTAGAGCAGAAAAAACTATAAGGTGAGAGGATGTGCAGATACATAAATATTGGTTAGGCCAAGAAAACTAGATTAACAGTTTCTAGCTCAAGTTTTCAAAAGAATCATAAGGTGGATGGTTATTATTAATTATTCATTGCCAACTTTTCAGCACAAATTTACTAAATCTTAAGAAATTATCCTAATTTAAGAGCATTTAGCATCACATGATATTAGCTTAAGTAATTAGCATAAATAATGCTGCTTGATACAGCTGTACTGATTGCATGGGGTGATGAAAAGAAAATGTTAATCTAAATTTCATGGTGTTACTATAAAGAAAGCTATTAACACTGTTTTAGAGAGGAAACTACCATCATATATTTTAAAGAATCTGGTTGGTTTTGTAAAGGTCTGTTCCGAATAATAGGGTTGTGATCCTAAAGCTAATGTGGGTTACTATCGAGTGTCACTTTCTTACTTGCTCTGGTTTTTTAGAGTGTATTGACAAAAAAGTCACGATATCTAATGAAAAACACCGTAGGTGTGAGAAAAAGGTGTGGCCCAAAAAATTGAGTGTGAGACTTAAAGGAATGAAATCAAAATTGACAGCCAAACTGGTTACTACACTTAAAGCATTGATAAGGATTTTACAGCAAATATTCATTCATTAGTTAGCTAGGCCATGTATTTTGTTTTACCCACCATCATGCCCCAAGTTGAACAAAAAACTTGGCCTGTTAACTAGTGCACACTCAATATTTTTTTTTTTTGGCCACACGTTTTTTTGCACATCTAAGGTGAGTTTGATGTTAACAATCATATTCTGGTGATATCAGTTGTGTTAGCTAGAATTTCAAGCATAAGGAATGTGAGCAATCTTGGTGAGTAATTCATAAGCCATTGATGTTAACACGTCATATTCTGGTGATATCAGTTGTGTTAGCTAGAATTTCAAGCATAAGGAATGTAAGAAGTCTTAGTGAATAATTCATAAACCATTGATGTTAACGATCATATTCTAGCGATATCAGTTGCATTTGCTAGAATGTCAAGAATAATATGTATTCCATTCATGTTAATAGTCATATGCTGGTGATATCAGTTGTGTTAGCCAGAATTTTGGCTATATTTTAATGTATTAGTCATAACTTCAGTTAATGGTTCTCTGATCTTATTAGTGTTGAGCATAATTTAATACATTAGTAATCTTAACAATGATAACAAGAATTCTCTTAGCATTATCACTAAAGATATTCAAGGTTCTCTGAATCTGTGGTATCCATGATGATGGATTGGTGGTGGTAGTTGGTATTTTATGTTTTAATGATGGTAGTCTTATAAGTTGTTATAACTACTATTTAGTTATGAGTAATATAAGTAATTATAGTAATATTGTGAATCACTGATACCTGCACACTCTACTTCTGTTGTCATATCATATCAGTTTTATGTTTACCAAACTTGAAGTGAAAACCTAAATACATAAGAAACTTATTCAATTGTTTTGACAACTAGACCTTGTTAGTGGTTTCTGTAAGGTTTGTTTAGAATGAGTAGAACATGCTTTATATTTTTTAAGCTTTATCAGTTCTCATAAATATTGACTTATGACTATTTTATTTCAGGCTGCCCAAAATGCTACAGTCTACTGGGTAAGTGATGTAATTCATTTTTACTATATGAAATTTAGTTCTAGTTCCAAATTTGTTTCTTCAGAATTGTATTGTCGTGCATAGTATCTTGTGTAGAAGTTCTAAGTATTTAGCCTTTTTTATATCAGAGGGAATCTAGGGACCATATAATAAAATAATCTTATGTTATTTATAGTATTTTGGCACTTGTGTATAAACTTGAAATCATAAATAATATTCAATGTTAAACTGGTACACAGTTAAAAACATTTTATTTAGGCCTATCTATGGCCTTCAAAAAGTTGACGACTCTACATGTTTCGATGTTACAACGTCATCCTGTTTAACGTTGAATATTATTTATGATTTTAATATTATGGTATTTCACTGTTAAAATGATATTATTTTTTCTCTGTGTATACATCAAGTGCCCTAAAACTGTGCTTGAAGTTTTTGTATTTCTTTTGTAATCATTGTAAGGCTACAGTGGTATAACTGTCACATCATTCAAAATGATAATGTGTTATTGCATCATTAAAAATATGAATAATTTGTTTAAAGAAAAGAGCAGGATCCTGACCTCTTCATTAGAATAAACATCAGACTACAATGAAATATTATTTTTCTAGTTCAACTGATATATTTTTTTAAGTTATAAATTAATAGTTTTGAAAAAATTGGAATAATATTTAAACTTTTACTTCTAAATAAGAAAACAACTTTAAGTGACAGACTTAAAAGAGACTTGCAGTCAACTGTCTGACTGTTCGTTTCAATGAAGGAGTGGGAGCAGGGACTAATTAATTCTTAATTCTACATGCAAATATAAAAAAAAACCTGAATTTCCACTAGTGTGACCCATGTCACACATTTTGTCTTAGCATGTCATCATCCCTATTTTATCCATCACCCCTCAAAAATGTACGAAATTAAATGTGAAATACTCTATAAAATCATTATTGCTCAAATAAACCATAATTTTTATAATTTTGTTTGGTTACAGAGCTATCGAATAGAAAATCAGACCCCTCCTGCCACACCCACCTGTCACATCCTCTCTTTCAGAATTTGTTGATAGTTCTCTCGTACGTT